GCTCCTCCGATGCTGCTTGGCCTGCTGTGTTCATCCAGCTCTACACCTTGTTATCTCTATTGCCAGACTTGCTGAGTTTCTCCAATAATTTCTGCTTTTGTTTATAATGTCCCTGGGACTTGGGTTCAGATACTGCCACAGCAGATGGTGGTATTTGAATTTGATTTAAGACATTTGTGGCACAATGGTAGTGTCCATACCTCTGGGCCAGGAGGCTTGCGTTCAAGTCCCAGCTGCTCCAGAGATGTGCCATAACAGCATAAGAAATAGGAGCAGGAGGCAGGCCCCGCAAGCCTTCTTTGCCATTCATTAAGATCATTTTTTGAATCATAGCTGATCATTTTTTTTGTAGAACTCAGCTCCACTTATATGCCTGCTCACCATAACCCTTATCATGGAATCATAGAATCCCTACAGTGTGGAAACAGGCCCTTCGGCCCAACAAGTACACATCAAACCTCAAAGCATCCCACCCAGACCCACCTAATCTACACATCCCTGAACACAACAGGCAATTTAGCATGGCCAATTCATTGCACACCTTTGGATTGTGGGAGGAAACCAGAGTACCCAGAGGAAATCCACACAGACATGAGGAGAACATACAAGCTCAGCACAGAAAGTCACCCAAAGGTAGAATTGAACCTAGGTCCCTGGTACTGTGAAGCAGCAGTGCTAACCACTGAACCACCGTGCCACCCTATCTTCTATTGTTCAAAAATCTATTTTTGCCTTAAAAACATTCAACGAGGTGGCCTCAACTTCTTCACTGGGCAGGGAATTCCACAGATTCACAATGCTTTAGGTGAAGAAGTTCCTCCTCAACTTAGTCCTAAATCCGTTCCCCCTTATTTTGGGGCTATGCCCCCCCAGTTCTAGTTTCACCCGCAAACGGAAACATCCTCCCTGCTTCTTTCTTATTTATTCCCCGTGTTATTCCTGGCTTCTCTTTTGATTCAGCATTCCACGCATGCACCATCACTCCATTCTGAGTGAAGGTTTAAATATCCTCACAGGAACAATCATTTCTGAATCTAGAGTCTTTTACACAAAGTATCAGTTATCTGACTGCTGTTAAATTCTCATTCTTCAAATACAGACCACCTTCACACGCTCACCCAGTATTACCCCCATTCACTGTTCGTACATTCCCCGCAGGACTTAAACAAACACATTTGATACAACTAAAGGTAACACTAGATTTTAAAAAGGAACTTAAACAATGTAGTCAAAAAGAATTGTTAGTTAAGGACTGGGAGGGTTTTAACAAACAGTCAATGATGATCAGGATTTGATGAAATGGAGTGAGAGGAAACTACCAAGGAATATCAAAATAGGTTATGTAGCTTCTGTTGTTATATGCCGCTAGTGGTGAAGAAATTAATGGAATGAAATGGCAGCAAGTAACCAAGAGGTGCAGCTTCTTAGAGGAAGTGTTAGAGGAAGTGGTTGCAGAGATGTACCCATATATCTGCTGCCCTTGTCCTTCTAAGTGGCAGAGGCCATTGGCTTGGAAGGTGCTGTCAAAAGACCTTTAGTGAGTTAGTGCAGTGTGTCTTGTTGATGGAGAACACTGCTGCCTCAGTGGTGAAGGGAGTGCATATCGAAGGTGGCAAATGTGGCGCCAATCAAGCAGGCTGGATGGTGTCATGCTTCTTGAGTGTTGTTGGAGCCGCACCCATCCATTCAAGTGGGAATATGACACTCCTGACTTGTGCTTTGCAGGTGGTGGACATTTTGGAGAGTCAGGAGGTGAATTACTCAATACAGGATTGTTAGTCTCTGACCTGCTGTTGTAAACATTGTATTTATGTGGCTAGTCCAGTTCTGTTTCTAGTCAATGTTAACCTTCAGTATATTGATAGTGGGAGATTCAGCAATGGTAATACCATTGAACATCAAGGTCAAGGGACAATGGTTATATTCTCTCTTGTTGGAGATGATCATTTCCTGCACTTATGGAGGTTTTGAATGTTACTTGCCACTTGTCAACTCATATGCTATCCATGTCTTTCTGCATTTGGACATGGACTGTTCCAGCAAATGAGAAGTCATTGATGTTGTTGAGCAGTTTCGATGAAGGGGCCCCAGACTCAAAATGTTAACTCTGCTTTCTTTCGACAGATGTTGCCAGACCTGCTGAGTTCCTTCAGCAATTTCTGCTTTTGTTTGTTTCAGATCTCCATCATCCACAATTCTTTGTTTAATTTATCTGACAATGCACAGTCATCAGTGAACATCCCCACTTCTGACCTTATGATGGAGGGAAGGTCGTTGATGAAGCAGCTGAAGATGGTTGGCCTGGGACGCTGCCCTGAGGAACTCCTGCAGAGATATCCTGGACCTGAGCTGAGTAACCTCCATCATATTCCAAATTGCCCCTCATAACTCTGTTCAGATTCAAGACCCTAGTTTCACAATCAACTATATCATATTTATACTTTTATATGAAAGTCCTTACACTATGATCAGAATAGGGAGGATGGGGAGGTGATGAGCAACTATCTTATTGAATGAGGGGACAGTGGAGGAGGTCAGAGTTACCAATTGCCTGCTCCTTTTCCTTGGCTATGTTCTGCCCAGGTGTTGGAAAGGGAGCACATGGGGCGCACCAACACTCTTGATGCTTTTAGAGGGTGGTAGGAACTACAGGGGTAAATCCTTCTCTCCTCTTCCAATGCCATTTTGATTTAGCCCCCTCCCTGGTGCTGTTGCATTGCCCTTAATGGGTTCTGCATGTGAAGCGAACAGTTGGAAACATGGTTAATTTACTGGTGCTGCTTACAACTGAACGATTGAAATTATACAGAGTAGAGGGGGCTATCCAGTCCACCTTGTCCATGCCAACCCAAAGATACTCAGATGCACTTTCTATCCCATCATCCCATAGCCCTGCAGCTTACAGCACTTAAGGTACAGATCCAGGTACTTTTAAAAAGAGTCTCTGCCTCCACCACCAACTCAAGCAGTAAATTCCAGACACCCACCACCGTCTGCATCAAAATGTTTTTCCTCACATCCCCTTTAATCCTTCTGCCACTTAGCTTGAATCTATAACCCCTGTGTAGTGATTGTAATAATGTCAGTCTGCTGGATCTCATAGAATATGAGTTCCCTGATTGGGGCTGTTAATCTGGTCCATTCAGGGAGAACTGGCTGACAGATATAAACGGAAGGGTCAGAGATTTTATTCACTCTGAGAGGTGACTCTGAGGGAGCTGGATCAGTGTCATGTGCTGTACATGTATAAATAAAGGTTGACTTGTTGACAGAATACCAGCCTCTGTGGAGTTATTTCACCCTGGTTTTTGAAATCTCTGCCAAGAAAAACAGGTTCCTCCCATCTACTCTATCTCTACCCCTCACAATTTTGTATACCTCAATTATGACACCCCTCAAATAAGCATAATGAGGGAGGAAGTCACCAGGATTGTTCCCTTGAAGGTTGAAGGAGAACAGGGAGGAAATAGCAGATGCTTTGAGAGTTATTTTACAGACTTCAATAGACATAGTTGAGGTGCAGGAGGACAGGAGGAATGCAAATGTGATTCCGTCGTTTG